ATCTAATCCTTACCCTGATAACATGTAAACTTCACAAATTCATGCTAATTTAACTCCAACCAAATATCTCTTCTGAGATATTGATCTCTCTTGCTACACCTCCTTCCGCTTCTCTATCAAATATCTCTTTCTCTCCCATTTTTTTCATTATGTTTTTTGTGAAACCAGCTCCTAACTTACTGAAATGAACCTCTATTTCTTAAAAAATAATCAAGCTCTTTTTTCGGTTCAATAAGCTTTGATATGTTAGTTAGCCTTTGGTTTTAAAAAATATGTTGTATTGGTTTGAAATGTTAGCAGTGTAATATCCAATTTTACAAATGATCTACAGCATGTGCATCACCTTGATAATTCTGCTCCTCGCTTAATGTCTACACCCCAGGGGACCTTAGTGCCTCATTGCACCTTTTGCCTTGAATAGAACTAAACTAAGCTGGTCGGTGAGAAATGCTAAAGTTTTCAAAGGGAAATTATTTATGGGATAGAGTTCACTCTTTGGAATTATTGTGGACATAGATGACGGGGGAGTTTGAGGATTTTTCTCTTTTCTACCTAGTTTCATATTGGAGATCGATGTGCGGAATGTAGACTTGGGACGATTTTCTTTTGTTTTGATGTAAGGGTCAATCGTAATCTGTCTTGTCCTCCATCATACCAGAATCTTCTCCTTATTGTCTGATAGGTATTGGAAAAGAGAGAAAAAAAGAAAACTTTTTCAGCTCATACAAGTCAATAAGCAACAAAAGTGGAAACTACGCTAGGCATTGATCAAAGTATTCCAAATCATGCGAGTTCATTTACAACAGAAGAATAATCTGAAGCCTACTAAATGTATGATATAAACTCCTATACTGATATGTTTCTTTCAAAAATCATGCTGATTAAATAATAAATATAGACATTACAACATCAGTAGTACTCTAGTTGTCACTTCAAGTAATCAGTATGCAACTTATAGACCCAGTAAGTTAAACCATTTTTGAATTTAACACCCACAGTCTCAACAATAGATTGGAAAAGGTATTGGAAACAAACACCCAAATTTGCCTGGAAAAGACGACCAATTTTTATGGATCAATATGTATAACAATACCATAATAAAGGAGCTCAGCATTCATCAGCTCAAAAAGTAGGTGGAACCATGGAAGATCTCATTACTCTTTTTCCTTAGTAAGAAATGAATATAACCATATGGAAGACCTCAATACTTTATGAACGCTGGTTAGTAACTAACAGCACATTATATACAGATGGTGACATACGAAACTCCAAATGACAACAGCAAACCATAAACAAAATTAAGTCAACTGAACGCATATTTATTGATGTGCATTGATTGAATGAAATAAAGTTATAACTTTGATATATCAATTAAGATTGGGTCGAAGAATTCCACGACTCAAGCTAAAAGATCAACAAATATAGCACACAAGGTTCCTATAATCATACTTTGACAACTACTCCCTTACTATATCTGTCACAAACATATACCTTCACTCCAGTGAAATAAGTCCATTGCATGCTTGGCTTGCATGTAGTTGTATGTGTTTTTACAACTCATTTCGTTAGTGTATCAGAAATGTCAAACCCTAAATAGGGTTGGAACAAATACCACTCCAGACAAGTTTTTGTGCTTCACACTTTCACAGATAGAGAGAGAAGCTAATGGCGTGCAGCAACGATTTTTCCCTGCATATATGCGACTAAATGGCTCTACATTCCAAATGATCCAAAAATTCAAACCATTTGGGTTCTACAAAAGAAAAACTTATTCTAGAAATAACCAAGATATGTTAATAAAATCAAAATGAACAGGGGAAATAAAGATTTCTTACATTCAAAACCTCCACTTTGTTTCTCCATACTAGTTATTATAAATCAATTACTTTTGCATAGATACAAAGAGGACACCACCAAAACTACATCTCACATTTATGCAAAAGCTGCAACTATAGACTCCTAGTGTTTTAACAGTAACAGCCAAAGCAATGCAAGATGCATCTGAGGATATCATCACCACATAATTTCTGTACTCAGGATGCCTTATCATAAGAGCATAGTAACATGGTTAATTAAAAGCATTCATTTACCTACTCCCCTTCTTTGAACCAGATACCCCATCTTTGGAATTTCCACCTGCGATCCGTGAATGAATAAAAAGGCCCATATTTTTATTAATGTGTCCATATTAAAGAAAATCAATCATTTATCCATAGTGTGTATCAAAATAGGAATAATGTACAGAAATGATTATATGCTCAAAAAGTATTAAACGAAAAAAAAAACATTCAAAATTCCCTGGCTGCCACTGACCTTCAGAATCAGTCTTCAATTTGTCACTGGGATTGACTGTTCCTCCTCTAACAAATGTCTTTGACCCGGGCGTACTATCGTCTTGAAACGACTCCACAAATTCTGCATATAAACGAGCTGTTTCATCCTCTGCTCGCTGCAAAACCAGAATAGAATGGCATGACCAACAAACTCTTTTTCAGCAATCCATTCATTCAAAAGGGTTCCTTCATACCTTTTTCTTTGCCTCTTCCTCTTCTCTGTGCTTCTGAAAAGGCGTCTTCTTCCTCGTAATCGAGAAGGAACTCATCTTTTCATTGACTGCGAATCATAAAAACACATCCAAATCAAAAACCTATGCAGCAAAAATCAAAAATCAAATCATATCTCCAAAAAATGTATCCAAATCAAAAATAAATATCAAAACTCTCCAAATCCGCATTAAAATTCAAAAACCCATATCATTTCACATCTTAAACAAACTAAGCTAGTTATTTTCAAAACCAAATCATGGCACTCGGACAAATCATGGCACTCGGACCATATATTACATGAGCTGCTAGGTGCCAACCAAGTATACAAGTGCTTACCTCACACAAGTAAAGCACAACTGAATATGGAAGCTCCTAACCCCAATATCTAGGGTTTTTGTTTTTCTTTATAAATATAATTCAATATGGAAGCTTCGGATACATACACGTACGTAAATATATACAGATTTAGAGCGCTTACGAATTACGAACTGGCGAGACGATGTGTCGAGCCGGTAAGCAAAACAGCAGAGAACTCAAACGAGAGAGGGAGAACGCTGAATCTCACCCTAGTAAACTGAACCCAAACCAACAACACACTAGAAACCCGACCTCAGACAACCCGGACCGATACATAGAACCGACTAAAGGCAAGTTTCTGCTTTTTTTTATCTGATGCTTTTTAGTGTTCTTATGCTGAAATTACATCAATAGCCATTGAATTACAGCACGTGTTCCAATTAAGTATTTAAATAAAATTTTGTGCCAATTTTTGAGTCCCTCAACTACATAATTTAACTCCCCACAAAAAAAAAAAACTTCATAATACATGTGCATCACACATGACTTTAGTAAAGGTATAATAGGTCAATCAATAAACATTCAACTCAACTCAAAAAATTATTGTCCCAATATTTTTAGGGTCGACTATATGAATTTTGTTTCATCATTATTCTTTATTAGATACCATATTTTTATAAAACCATAATTTGTAATGTCTTTCTTTACTATTTCATTTAGAATTACTTTTGGTCTTCCTTTACTCTCAACACTTACGGTCAATAATTATCATATCACTCTTTCTCATGGTGTCGTAGTAGGTTATCTACAAATATGTCCAAATTACCAAAGTCAATTTTTTATTAATTTAGGTCTACTAGGAAATTGTTCATTGTAATTGGCTAATTTCGTGAAGTTACAAATGTAAACCTCAACTAAGTTCACAGTTGATGACGGTAGGATTTTGGAGTGGGCTGCCCATCCTAAACTCAAATTTTAATGGGCCAAAAAGGGTGCACAATGGCCTAAGAGACCCCTCAACAACCCATATGCTCTGTAATAAGGAATGGGTCATAATCCAAATGAGGGAGCCCAGAAAAAAGTCCAACTCGGCACAACCCTACTTGGTCATAACAAGCTCAGCATTAAGCAGTCTGAGATCAAGGAGCTCGGTATTCACTGGACCCCGAATGTCCCACTTCGCGCCATGTGTCCAGGGGACCAGGGGACAACTTCTAGAGCTTCTAACGAACGTGTATTCTCTGGTAAATGGAATATTTGTGCACGTAACCACTCAATAATTGTGGATACTATGGCGTTGCATGACAGAGGTCACTAAAGGAAAAACAAAGATGGGACCACAGAATCAGCAAAAAGAAAGAGGAAATCACAAGAAACCCTAGAAGGATTACCTGTATAAATAGAACACTATCACACTGCGAAGGTGGACTGACAACTTCTTTATTGAGATACTTGTATTCATAAAACATTGTATGAAAAGGTTTTAAGCCCAACAACCCATTGTAATCTTTTTCTTCAAGAAATATACACACCCTTAAAGAGTAAACGACTTCATTACAGTGGACGTAGCCTTAGTATCTCGGCTAAAGTGAACCACTTATACATTATTTTTGATTCATTCTCACAGCTTAATCCGCTATCAATTCATATATTCGCACCACCCCTCTTTGGACCATCAAATCATTGTTCTGAACTTGGGTTAAGCATTTTCGAACACCATCAGCTTGGCGCCATCTGTGGGAATGATTTTCATCATTTTCTTCAAGTTTCTTTCTACATTTCTGTTAGCTCGGACAAAACGCGAGCTCTTCAGCCGCGCAACCTCGCCTAGGCTTTTCAATCTAATAGCTTTTTCAACTCGGAAAAGCTGTGCAACCTCGACTAGACTTTTCAATCGAAAAGCTTTTCAGCTCGGTCAAGCAGTGAACTCTTCAACCACGCAGCCTCGACTAGGTTTTTAGCCTAAAGAGCTTTTCAGCTCAGTCCATTAAATATGGCAGTTATAAGTTATCAACACAAACATGACTTTGGCCTTGATACCAAATAGATAAATTCAGCTCATATTCATAAAGTAGTATCAGGATAACAAAGAAAGAAGAAGAAAAAATCTAGGTCCCCCCCAGCCCGCCACTTCAACTTTGAATTCTTCCTCTCCAACTACGCATTGGTAGCCCGCAGGCAAACATTCTCAGCTCTTAAAGCATCTCGCTTCTCCTTTGCCTCAGAGAGCTGCTTCTTGAGGTCTGTATTCCCAAATTTGTGCTCCAGCTTAGCAGATGAAAGAGAACCTAACGACTGTGGTAGAGAGTTGTTTTGTCTGAACTTCTTAGATGAGCTGGCTACGTTCTCCTCTGTTTCTTGCCCGAACTTGTGTTGGATAACTAACCCTTATTCTTCTTGTTCTTAGCTCTGGCCTCCCAAATGCTCTTAGTATCATCTATCTCTCTCTCAATAGCCATGGTTGTCTCGACTAAAGAATTCAAGTCTTGCAACCTATACCCCCACAATCTTTTCTCGTATGGCTAGTTTTAGACCATCCTTAAACCTCCTGAATTTTGTCGCATTGGTGGCCACATAATCATCAACAAAATGGGCTAACTTGATGCATTTAGTCACGTATTGCATGATCGTCATCGTCCCTTGCTTGAGATTCAACAATTCTCAGGCCTTACTAATATAAGGGTAGAAATGAAGTACTTGTTCATAAATAACTCTTTGAATTCAACCCATGTCATAGCCTCTAATCCCCTTGATGACTTAGCCCATACCCACCATTGATGGCCTTCCCCTTTGATTTGAAAGGTGACAAGCCTAATCTTTGTAGCGTCTGACATGATTTCCATCACCTTAAGAATCTGGTTCACCTGTTGGAACCAATGGTCAACTACCATTAGGTCTATTTTTCCCATGAAAGTAGGTGGCTTGTATGACTTAAACTTTTGGAGATTACTCGAACCTCCTTCACCCTGCTGGCACTATCTTGTAGGAAAGTAGTGGTCATGACATTCATGAATACCCCTTTATCGTAGACAGGTCGTGGTGGTGGGTTGTTCTGACCTCCCACTCGATAGTTTGGTTGTGGTCGTTCTCGTGTTGCTATCTATAACACAAGAGATAGCAATAGACTCTAACTTAGTATCATGTACCATTAACAACATTGAAGCATTATAAAATATATCACAATGATACAATGGTGTCATAAAAAGAACATGCAAGTTGGGTTCAAATTAAAGTCATGACACACCTTTACACTTTTTGTCATAATTCTTAGGATACTAAGAAATTGGGGGCTAAAATCTATCTCATTTGAAAGTAGACATCCTAAGCTTTCCAACAATAGCTTATTTGTGTAATTCCAACTTTGGTAGAAAAAGTTATGGCCATTTGAAATTGGGGGAAAATACAATTTTGTTGACCTACTAGTAGGTAAGTCCACCTACCAGTGGGTTCAAAACAGAGTGTTGTTCTACCAATAGGTTGATGTCCAACTACTGATAGTTTCAAAACAGAATATTGTTCTACCGGTAGGTTGATGTCCAACCTATCAATAGGTTCCAAAACAGAAGATTTGAGCTACCGGTAGATTTTAGGTTCAACCTACCGGTAGGTTCAAAATAGAAAGCCTTTCTACCGGTTTGTTCTTATTGACCTACCGATAGGTCAAACCTGAAAGCTATCCTACCAGTAGGTTATGTCTTGATTTCTACCGATTCATCTATGTTTTCTTTCTTTCTTCTTGTCCAACCTTAAGACTATATTTCTACCTAGGTTTTCCAGGTCTTTCATGTTTAAGCATACATATATTCATGCAATAGTATGTAACAAAGAATATGTAATGTATGTGGATGCAATGTCATAACCAAAATATTTTCGTAATGGAAAATGATGGACTCACTTCCCATGAGACACATGTAAGATCTAAAGTATAGGCCTTGATGCCAAGCTATGAAACCCCAAATCCCGAGGGTCCTTATTACCCGTTAAACCTCGTTAATTAACCCAATGCATTGATCCCGACGGACCAATCCCAATGGAACTCCGATAGAGTCTCATTTGTGCGTGGAGCTCCACCCAAAACACAACCTAAGTTAATAACGATTCCAATTAACCTTCTAAGGTCTAACATGCATATCTAATACAATCCATGCATTAGACAACAATAACAAGTTCAAATGTAAACCATTCATTTAACAAATGAACAATTTACATTAAGTCTCCATATGTATGCCATTACAAAAGAATAGACATATGTTGTATAAACCAAAAGTACAAGTCTATCAATTTTACAAATTGGGACCCAACTTCTATACATCCAAGATAAGAGCATAAGATCCAACTCCACATCAAAGCGGACCCATGGGAAGGCCATTTGCAGAAGCATGCGTAGTACTTGAAAAATATTCCCACGACGGGGTGAGCCTAAGCTTAGAAGCGTATCTCCTATAGAGAATACCTCTCAACTCAAATGCATATGATATGATGTACATACAACTCAACAATCACATATATGCAACAAGTACATAAAAAAAATATTACTAAACATGTCGAGCCATGAGTGTTGTTTCATGAATGCATGTTCAACTTCAAACCCACTCCCAAGTTTTCATGCATACCCATGATGTAATGTCATGCCATGAACGGGCATTTTCATGCCCCCGCAATTGAGCTATACACACACAATGACTATTTTAATTACTATCTTATCTTTAGGGGCAAGTAATTTATGGCCTTTCACCAATGGGATACCAAACCATTAATGCATCTTGAGGACATCCCTCCTACGACTCCATTTTTGCTGACACACATTTATGGAATCGTTATACCACCGAAAAATGTGTGATCGAATAAACCAGGTCTTGCACCTGAGGAAAAATCTAACCCTTCTTGCTAAGCTCTGACATATTTTCATGCAATTTTCCATGAGACTCAATTGAACCTTGGTTCAATCTTCCAAGCCCCTCCCATCAGTCACCTATATGGTAAGCGATTTATCCATGAACAACACTCACAACCATGCCAAATGTCTTGTGGAAGTGATGTTTAACCTGTGCACGTGTAATGTATATATAGTTGCATTTCAATTAAAAACACCATGTCAATTATAGCATTAAAACATATAAGAGCATTCTAGTGTACCACCCAACACATGTTATATACATTGATTAACCCAAATAACATGCTTGAATACATTTATAGCATTTTATCAAACACATACAGTGCATAATTGTAAACACATTACTTACCCATCATAATCTACATATAAAACATGTTCAACAACCCAACTCAAGTAGAAATTAGGCAACATGCTCACAAGTAGGGGTTTTCATGGGCTGGATTGTCCACGGGTCCCATTACCTGGCCCAAAATTCTATAGGCCCTATAGTTGGCCCACCCGAGCCCAAACTCAATATCCTTTAAGAGAGGGCATGGGTCTACCCCAAACCCATTACCCGGCCCAATAGCCCCGCCCTAAAAAAAATCAGGTCCAAGAACCCGTCCGTCCAGCCCAACTTAATGGGCACTTGCTCGCCCAACCTAGTAAAAATATGAAAATAAGTCCTTCAATGTCGAAATTCGAAGTTTTAGAAATTTAGATATTGTAAATAATATATTTTTTTCTTTTTCATGTATTAAACATATAGTTTTAAAAGGTAAAGTTGTTCAAATAATAGATAGGTGGGTATGAGCCAACCTAGTTAGAATATGTTCATTCTATTGTGATGCAGTTCCTTCCTTATTTATAAACAAAATTATTCATTATTTATTTTTTGTCAATTTTGAATCTACTTTTAATTCAAAAATATAATGTACAAAAATATTAAATGACAAAAATATTCATTATTTCTAAATGAAGTTGTATATAAAAAAACCTGTCCAGTAGGGCCTCCCGCACGCATGCCTTCCCTTAGGCCCGCCTAATAGGTCCACCCACTAGCCCTGCCTAGTGAGTGGCGGGTTGGACAGCGGTAGCCTACCCTACTCGAAACCCAGCCTGGCATGCCTAATAACTCATTCGGGTAAAGACTTGAGTCTATCCTAAAAAGGCTCAGCCCAAAAAAAATTTCACGAGCCAAGCCCAATCTGGCCCATGGACACCACTGTAGTCACAAGTTCCAATTAACTCACTAACTCATAGTTTTAAAACCCAATTCAAACATCAATCCGACAGAGGAACCAGGTCAATGAGTCACTAGTTCAATCGTTGGGTTACTAGTCGAACCGGTTATATAATAAAAAAATAAATAATAATAAATAGGCTAAAAAATCACAATAATTATGATAATAGTTACAAACATGTAAAGTTAAGTTGAGAAAAATAATCAAACATGTATCCAATGCATTTAATTTCTAATACAATTTGTAAATCTAAAGGTATGTAGTAAAAAAATACCTCTATTTAACTTCAAGACTCTAAGTCCAAGTCTTCGACTATGTATCAATCATTCAATCCAAGTATAATTCATGTAATTTGCACTCTTCAAAGTATAAATTAAGATGCATAAGGCAATAAATTCAACATCATCTCATTTCACAGCATAAAAAATAACCATATATCTAAAATCAATTTCAAGCCTAGAAATTTCTAGTATCAATAACATCCTAATAATATTGTAACCCACAAAAAAAAAATGTAACCCACAAATTGAGATCAACCCCTCCAAATTCCAACCCACAAAAAAATAAAATGAAACCCAACAGTTCTGAAAATATTGCGTTATCAATTATCAACTATCATAATTCAATGTGTACAATGCAACCCACAAAAAAAATGCAACCCGATGTAAAAAAATATAGCTTCATCAATTATCAAAACTCAATCTATACAAAACACAAATAAATTCTCAGATATATATTGATAGAGAAAGAAAAAGTATATTGAACACCTAAAATTGTTTATGTCCAGTATATTACCCAATGCTCTTTCATTTACTAATGAGCAATACCATAGAACCCATTGCATAACAATTGCAATTGGTAACAATCATATGTTCAAGTTTCAGCATTGGTAAAGTTAAAAGAATGCACCAATCACAACCAAATTAAATAATTCAGCAATTACGAACAATTACAGGAGCAACTAAACAGTAAAGCAACATAAACTAAGTAATTACACAATTCAGAATTGAAGCAAATTAGTAAATCGACTAAGCAAATTTTATTGGAAAACATTAAGCAAATTAGAACAACCCCATCAACAGATTGAGACTCACAAAGACAGACTGAGAGAGAGAAAGAGAGAGAGAGAGTAGTATACTTGTTGGTGGTGGTCGTCGATCGGTTGCCTTGATGTTGATGGAGCTCTGAAGCAATGAAGGTGAAGTAGTTTTCTCCTTCAAAAATCAAAATCAAAGTGAAGAAGCTAGGGATCAAAATTTTCTTC